CTGTATGGGAAAACTTCGGCGCCTCTCTCTTCAGCTTCGGAAGCTCAGACAATTTTGAACTCCCCAACAAGTTTTGTTCTCCTTTGTTAAACAATGGGTTCTTCCTATTTTACTTTACTGCTCCCCCGTAGTGTTTCCCGGTTTATTGAAACAAGACTTTAAAACTATCCGTCGTGGATTGATGATAACAAACCGTGCATCTTTAATTTCTGTCGAACCTTTATCAGAGAATTTATTAATGGTCATATGAAGTCTTGTATGACCTTTTGCAATGAGATTTTAAACGACTCCTCCCATCAATTGCATCACCTCCTTGTCGATCCCATTCGTTCACTCGTTCCTAGTTTCGGTACCTATCCTCTCCAATAAACATTAAAAAACTCCCCTGTACCGAATCTGGCTCGAATCTTGACCAACAAAGAATGAGTTATAAATGAAGTACGTCAATCTTTACTCGAATAAATCAAACTTCGCAGACATCTTTTTACACAGCGCTCTATTGGATTTGTCCATACTTCTATATTTTCTCCAAAGTGACGCACAGTGTACAATTTTTAACTGAAATCTGAGCATATCACAGCTTGCAAAAGTTATACAAATACAAATAAAAACCGCGGTGCATAACCGTATTCAAGCAATGCGATCATCTTATCAACGCGGTAGTGTACGAAACCGTTAACTATATCTGCGATGTAATACCCACGCTCACATTCTTGCAAGGGGAAAACCGTTTGCGGTTTAAACAAAGTTCTTAATGGTGGGGACCAATTTAATTTGGCCGCAAAAATCAGTGCGCAATCGGTTTCACCTCAATTCGGAAGTATTTTAAAGGCAATAATATGCTTAGTCGTGACACATCATTCTGGATAAAGGAGTTCAGATTCCAGTTTTTACAACCATAACCATGCACTTGTGTGCGCCAGTTTTGGTTGCTGTCTTTCGGTGCCCCATTTGGATAAAAGAGTAGAATGGAGATTGGAATGTTGAAAGCAAATTCAAGCAAAAGATGGAGAATTCATATTGAATGGTGTTAGAGGAATTATGAGTGGATGCACGAG